CAATAAAAAATATAATTATTAATCAATTAACATAAAATATAATGGTTTTTGTCTTAATTAACCTAAAAAATGTAATGAAATATTTTCTTATTAATGAGATTGAGTATATTAATGCCACATAAATAAAATTTATTAGGTTCTATTTATTAGGTTTTATTAATAATTTGCCACATAGGTAAAATTTATTAGGTTTTATTTATTAGGTAAAATTTATTGCTTAGCTAGCAATTATATATATATAGATATATATATATATATATATGTGTGTGTGTGTGTGTGTGTGTGTGTGTGTGTGTGTGTATTTGAGATAAAGAAGCTCATATCGCTATTTGTTATGCAGTGACTGATCATTTATAGGACAATTTTTCTAATCCATAAAATTAGATGTAATGTTATTGTAATAATTGTTTCTAATGGTTCTTATTTTTTTAATAGTATTATGTAGTTATGTAATTTGTATTCTTATTGTTTAAATTTATGAAGCAGTCTTGTATTGTTATATATAAACATATTTTTATTGTTTGTGCAATTAATATTTATATAAGATTAAATACACATATATATATAGCAATTTATTTGAAATAAAAATAAATAAAAAATAATATATTTTTTGTAGATCAAAATGTAGGTCAAAGATTTGAAGGTAAAACTTGAATTTAAGTTTACCCTACTTTAGAGTAGAATGGAGGGTTGGAACTGCTCTTAATTAAAGATGAATTGAATTCCTTGCTTATAAAGAATAAATAGTTTGTTACTCAAAACATAATTTTCATATAATATATCTATATCTATATATATATAATTGCTGCCAAGCTTCAATAAATTTTATTCAGGCAACAATTAATTGTAATAGTAGTTCATTTAAAAAATTGGGTGTTTATTTAATAAAAATATGTTCATCATTTAATAAAAATATGTAACTTTCAGTTACACGATTTATTTTGACATGTCCCATTTTAGATGATGCCCATTTTTGTAACGCCTTTTTATGTCGTAAAATATAAAATATTTTTGTTTTTATTTTGGTACTATATATATTTTGGTATTATATAAATACATATTTCATAACTAATTAAGACTAACTACAAATATCTCTATTTTCTATTGCAGTCATACAATAATAAAAAAGTATTTTTCGAATATTGTAAAAATACATCAAATATTTAGAAAAAATAAATCTCATGAAATAAAACCCTTCATTGCTCTTGCAAAATAGTCCTACAATATATTTAAAAATTTTAATATTATATACATAAATATAAGTTATAATACGATATATTTAAAATTTAACATCATTATCTAACTTATATGTTTAATATTATATACATATAAATAACTCATAATATTTTATTTATATATCGAATACTAGTTTATTTATAATCAAGGAGTATCTATGTTTAAATAAAATTAAAATTATTAATACCGAAATATTTTAAAAATGTTACACCAATTCTCAAAAGGCCCACTCACTCTAACTTGGTTTCAACATTTATATAATTAGCAATTGCATTCCCCGAGGAAAAGAATCACAACACAAGTAATTTCTTTAATATATATCAGGAAGTAATAAAAGTGGGTATGCCCACATTATTGGGTTTACCATTACTATTAAAATAAATAAATCAATGCATGGTCATTCTTGGCCCATGCTGAGCTTCTATATTATACTGATGGAAGGAGAGAAATCTAATTTTAAAATTAATCTCAAGACAATATTAAACGAAGGCTAGAAAGCCTCTCCACAGTCCACGCACACACCCCACACAAGGGGTTCATTTTTGGCACGTTTAACAACAATTATCCCAAAATTCAGTGGACTGATACAAATGTAGTGGTCATTTCAGTCCCCCACCAACGGGAGGAGTCGGAGGCTGGTGGTGACTGGGAGACAAATAAAGNAGAATGGTGTACAGTAAAAAAAAAAACAATAAATCATAAGATAAAAAAATCAAAATTATATCTTCATTAAGAATAATATGGTAATTTTCACTTACAAATTGTGGGACCCACAAACACACCAACTCCCCACACCCACGTGCGTCAAACCCACTTGTCTCCTCATCACACCAACTCCCCCGCTCGATGATGACCGGCGACACGACCACACCTGCCCTCCATTCCACCTTCATCCCGACGCCGGCGTCCGCCATGAGCCGAGCGGAGCTTTCCGTCGGCGTCCGCTACGGTACTGGACAACAACATGCTGGAAAGCAGAAGACACAAAGTGTGGTTGTGGGTTGTCTTTTAGAAATTTGATGTTATGAAAGGACTTATGTGAAATTTAAAATTTTTTAATTATGTTTGAATTTAGTGTCTGGGCCAAATTTGTAATTCATAAAAACTTTATAAAAAAATATTATTATTTCTATATTTTGTTTATACATATATGTTAAAATAATAAATAAAAATAATATAAAATAATAAATAAAAATACAAAATTTATAAATAAATAAACTCACAACACACACTACACAATTCACAATATTGATAAACGAGATGCACAATAATGAATATCATGTTGCATAATAATGTTACATCGAATGCACATTAATACGTTCGAGAATGCACATTATCATATTAGTGTGCATTTTAACACGTAGTAAATTTTGGTTATTTCGATATGATTTCGACTTTATTTAACGAACAAATTTAAATAATGAAAGTGAATGAATTTTATAAAAATATTATTTTGAATCTATATAAATTATTTATTTACATCAAACAATAATATAACATTATTAAATAAAAAATTATAAATACAACATAGTTTTTATTATATAAATAAGTTGATAAATACACAATTATTTTATTTAAAATACATTGTATTAAACTTTTCTAAAGTTAAAGTGCACATAAAAAAATTAACCGCTCAGTATACTGCACAATAATACTATACTGAATGCATATTATTGTGAATGGGCATGCACATTATTAATTTTGGTACTTTTATATATTAAATTTACATTCAAACTTAATATAAAATATATTAAATAAATTTATTAAAAAAAACTATAATATATTTACAATATAAAAAAATGTATTATTTTGAATAATTAGTATAATTTGGGTAACCGACTCGATAAACCCAATAAACCAATTGATTTGGTTCGATTTCAATTTGTATGGAACGAAAGTTCGGTCAGTTCAAACTACACAATGGCGTCCGAAAATGTGCACAAAAGTGTTAGGCACATTGCACAATAATAACGAGTGTGTTGCACAATATTGACCGAAACCGACACAACTAGAACTTTTTTTGGATCAAACTTATATGTTGGGTCAATTAGTCTATAACGGATGCACGACGTCAATTTCGATATTTCATATATTATTTTTTTTCAACTATTAAATTGTTAAATAAAATTATTAAAATACTAACTACATTTTCAAAATATTAATAACTACTTATTTTATAAATTTAGGGTAATTCAGTTAACCAATGGACTAAATTTATTATTTCAATTAAGTTTTAGTTTGGTTTTGGACAAAAGCTTGGTCAGATTATACTGCACATCAACATCCGAAAAAGGTTCACAATAGTACTAGACACAATGCACATTAACATCCGAAAAGGTTTACAATAGCTTCTTCCTATGCTTTTTTCGGTCATAGAAAGCTTCTTGAACTAGGTATTGCTGAAGGGAGCTATTATGTTGAGAGGACCAGGTTGGCAGATTGAGGAGTTGGAGGCTCATAGTAAAAGGTAAGATCAAGCATTTTATTTGGAAGTACTTATCTGGGTCTTTACCTGTCAATGTGAATGTGACGAGGAAATAAATTGTAATAGACGTTATATGCAAATGGTATGGTGAGGAGGAGGAGACTATTGAACATGTATTTTTTTTAAGTGTGTGAGAGCCAAAAGGTGTGGAAGCATGCATCTGTCGGTTGGGATGGTATAAAATCAGATTCTTGCAGGTTTGAAGAGTGGTGGGGTATAATTTGCTCTATAGACCATACTGTGTTTCTGAGGCCAGGATTGCACTAACAACGTATTTACTTTGGTGATTTTGGAAATCTCGAAACTTATGGATGTTTGAAGATGTTTGGAGACGAAAGTAGTGTATTGTGAGGGCTGTTGTTGGTGAGTGCATTGAAGTTGCTTGTGTTCGAGCCATGGCCAGAAGACCAAGATAGGAGGGTTTAGTTAGGTCTGTTTTTTATAGTTCAATTACTAGTTTCTTCTGTTTTTGGTTTGATGTTATTTTGCTTCAGTTGTCTGGAGTGTCTAGCCAGAGGTATAAGTGTGTCTATTGCCTCTTGTTAGGTTTGGGTTGTTTTGTCGTTTAGGCTACAATAGTGTGTTGTAGCGCTCTTTGATTTATGCCTTCGACTGTAGGGTTTTGTCCGAGTGTATTAAAATTTTGTTCTGATTAATTTTATTAGAGTTTTGTACCGTTTATGTTAACAAATAAATGATTAACGTTATATTTGGGAGGTATTATGACTAAAAGATTGACTTTTTATGGAGTTTTATACTCCATCCGATTCTTTTTAATTGTCATTTTGACTTTATGAACTATTAACTAATTAAATGATGTTTTGGATCTTTTATACATATTTTTTCATTATTATACTTATTTAGCTAAAAAATAAATTACGCCTTTTTAAATTTCTCTTCGTCTTTTTTCCAAAGCATCCATCTCTATCCTCATAAGAGATTTATTATTAGCCAAAAAAAGATTATTAATTACTGTGTAACTACTCAAAACGACATATATTATGAAAGATTTATTATTAGTCAAAAAAAATTATTAATTACTGTGTAACGGCTCAAAACAACATATATTATGAACTGAGTGGAAGTTTTTAGAACACAATTCAAAAGTTATAACTTTAGCATAATTCGAGGTAAATTTTATGTTGTACAAAAAGAGGAGCAATTTTGGAAAACTTTTCTGGTTTGAAAACCTAGCAATTTAAAGTCGTTCAACAGGGAACTCTTTTGTTGTTTATATCAATATCGTGATTTCGTCTCTCACACACACAAACTACACACACTAATCCTCTGCTGCAGAAGATTCATCATCCAAAGGCTGAGTCTAGAGAGAGATCCATAGGCTATTGCAAATATAGCACAACAAAAGTCTAGAGAGAGAAGACAAAATTAGACTGAAACTGCATTTATTAATACATATATATATAATAAAAATTAAAAAAAAAAACACACATTTCCTCAAGGATAAAATTCCTATTAGAAATCCTTCCATCTTCTTTATTCCCTTTTCCATTCATTAATGGCGGAACCCGGCTTTTCCCGGTTTCCGGGTCACCACCTGGATCCCGCCGCTCAAGAATTCTTCCCGACGGCGACCGTAATTTACTACCCCTACCCTCCTCCTCCGCCGGGGTATCCGCGGCCGCAGTTTCCCCCACCTTCCCCGCCGGTCTCCCTGCCTCCGCCGTCGCCGGCTCCGTCCCGGACGCTGCTCCTGAGCATGGTGCCGGCTTCAGTGAGCGAGTCGGCGGTCCGCCGCGAGCTGGAGGTGTTCGGCGACGTGCGGGCGGTGCAGATGGAGCGGCGGCGCGAGGGTTTGGTGACGGTCCATTTCTACGACGTGAGGGACGCGCAATCGGCGCTGGCCGCCGTCCAGGAGCAGCACATGCAGCAGCAGTACCGACTGGGACGCCACTACGAGGCCGTCTTTCAGAATCCCATGGCGGCGCCGCCGCCACTGCCGCCGCCGTCGGCGCGTGGGCTCATCCAGGGACGGGTGGTTTGGGCCCAGTTCACTGCCCCGGTCACTTCCCTTTTGCCCGATGGAAATAATCAGGGAACCCTTGTTATTTTCAATCTGGAACCCCATTTGCCTGCTGCTTACCTCACACGCGTTTTTGAAGTTTTTGGTATGATTCTCCTTTCACTTTTCTTCTCTTTCATTTTTTCTGCTTTCTGAAAATCAATTAATGATGATGATACAGCTAATTAACCCCGACGCAACCAGATTTTTGACAGTGATGTGTATAACAGGTTTTAGATAGAATTGTGTGTCTGTGCTTTCTTCAAGTGTTTTTCTTTCTTTTAATGCTTGTTGGTATATAATAAATTATTAGCATGTTCCAGGTTGTGTGAGTAATT